TCTATTTTTAGCAGACAAACCCACTGGGGAGGAGAGAAACTAGCAAATGAAGGGCAGAGATATAAGGCACAAGGGCAGAATGAACAACAAAGGTGAGATAAAAGTTAAAAAAGCAAAAAGCAAAAGGGTCCTTAAGAAAAGCCCAGCATAACATTTAAGTAGATGAAATGCACTTTATTCATGATGGGCCTTTTCCCTAATACCACAACAAAGTCTGGTTCCTCAAGTGGCCTTTGGATTCCTTTCCCTAAGGACATTATTAGATCCTACTCTGTAGTACCTAAAATAACAGTGACAATAACAACCAGATTAGACTGACTAGATTATAAACTCATTGAAGGCAAGGTCAGTTCAGACAAAATTTTTTTTCTGTCACCAAGTTTAGCATGTTTGTTGAATAAGTGAAAAAGAAAAATATTCAGTGACTTTTTTAACAGGGTGGTCCCCATAGAAAAGGGTCAGAAATGGCCAGACAAGTCTGGGAAGCAAAGAATTGAACCGTCCCTTTTCTTGGGGACCACCCTGTTACAACTCCCTCTCTCCTTCACCCCCCCACCCCAAAAAGAAAATTTTAGGCTGAGCCTATTTTTATCTTCTATTTGGAGATTTGTTTCCAAGAATGGATCTTGAAAATCTGAAGGAGTTTTAGCAAGGTGCTTAGGATAATAGCACTTGACTAAGCATATAAATAAAATTTGGGAAATTCCTTCTCCATGAGTAAAAGAGGAGCAGGATGGAGCTGGAGGCTGTTCTTTGTCTAGTAGCATTTGGGGTGCCTGGCTTTGAGGAAGGAGCAGAGATGGCTGTGTAAACATGGCATGAGACTGATAGAGCACTCTCTTGCTAGAAAAATATAGATTCAGAAGCATACCAGACTCCAGAAACACTCCTAGCAATGCCTCCTAGCAGGCACACTTCTTCATTTGCTGATGAAGAAACTGAGGGGGGGGGGCGCGGTTGGAGGGAGGGTGTTGTGCTACTCAGGGTCACTAAGCTAAATGGTGGCAAAGGCTAGATTGAGTAGTTTTCAATGAAGTAGTGAAAGAAGCATGTTGCATACCTTTTTTGTAGATACCTTAGGGTAGAAAGCTAGCATTTTAAATCATTAGTAAGGGCTATAGAATCATGCCTAGAAAATAAATACTAAACAGATCTATGACAAGCTTGTGGACTGAAGAAAACTTTAGACTGTGTTTTTGAGGTTGCTTCATGATGTTCTATCTAGATCTTGAAGATTTTTTTCCCATTGATTTTGGAGTCTTGACTTGACGGACAGAGTTAGGCAGGGAAGGACAGATCTTTCTCGATTTAATGTATAAATGTTGTCCAAGGATACACAAAGGTACAGACTTCTCTCTATGAGGAATAGGAGACAGCTTCCTAGTTCTTTTGGACATTCCGACTACCCCATGGAAGTTCCCAATCAGCTGATGAAAGAATTCTAGCCGGTAGGTCTAGGCAAATCCCATCATTCCCGCTCCCCTTGAATATGGCACCTGTTTTCTTGCCCAGACTACAGGAAACCCCGACCTTTCTTTCCATCATCATTTAGATTAATTCATTAATGATTTTTCAGGCAAGTTTTTATTCAGGCACTTGGGGACAGGTAGTGACTCAGAGGTTGGCATGAACACCAGAATAGAAGTCACAGTCTTCTCTGGGGATCCTACCCTGGGCTTTAAATCCCCAGATCACACAACTTCCTAATTGGAAAGAAATGTTCTTAAACAAGAACAGGGGTTTTGCCAGGCCTGACAGTGACTAATAAGGTTGGTCTATCTACTGTTTGATAAAAGAGAAGTTGGATTTACATGTCACTGTGAATTTTTAAAGTAATTTCACCCCCAGGTTTACTGTTGAATAAAATATCTCTCCTTGGGCAATCTCACTGCAACTCCTGCTGCTGTACCTCCTTTAATTAAATTAACTTTGACATATCATTCAAACAATATCTTCCTTCCACACGCCTTTGTTTTCTCCAAGATCTACTTATTGACCAGTTTCATCTGGTTTTTGTATTAGACTCTTACCAATCAATACGCTCGCAAATTCATTTGGAGACCAGTTTTATCATCTCTAACCCAAACTGGGCAGCCCTCTCATTGTTTTCCTTTACCTGTGTATAAAATGGCCCACACAAACACCAAAGTAGAAAGTAAAATAAAACGTCGGGGGTGGGGGGGCTCGCGGGGGGCGGGTACATCGCAGCAGAATGAATACAAAATATGAATCTCATTTCCTGGAATTCACACATCTGATAACTAATTCCCGAGTTGAGGAGAAAGGATTTCATTTTTATTACTCTGGAAAAGCAGACATTCTCATTCCTAATTAAAGCAACTCGCCTTAAACACATTAAGTGCGAAGCTGAGGCGCCACTCCAGGGCGTGGGCGCGCAGGCGCGGGGTCGCACACGTGGACACAGACACTCACACGCTCCCGCCCACACCCGCTTCCGTGTGAATCGCCTGTGGGATTTACAGACTTAGCCACCACGGATTTCTGTCAGGTGCAGAAAACAGAAAGTCTTTGTTTGGTGGGCATTCTGCTCTCCCGGGATTTGATGTTTACCCGCCACGTGAACGCTGGGCGCGGGTCCCGCCGGCCGGGAGGCGCCCCCGGAACAGGAGAGACAAAGGCTAGCGAGTGCCGCCCGTGCGACCCAGGGACGTCTCCCTAGCTCCCGCCACGCGCGTGAAATTGAATGTGCCTCCAACTGAGAGGCCCGTCCAAGAACTGTCGTGCCAAAGCTTTGGTAAAGGCGTTGGCGTTTCCCTAGGTGGAGAAGAATCCCTGTCCTCTGGCCTGGTGGGGGCTCATTTCTGAGCTGCCCGTGAAGCCAGAGATGAGCCGGGGACCTTGGGGGGCTGGGGGTGAGTAGGGGAGCTCCGTGGAAAGGGCTAAGTCCTGGTGTGCTGGCAAGAAGGAGTCCTTAGAGTTTACAGCCATCACAGCAAAATGAGAAGGCGGACAGAGAGCCTTTTTTGCCCTGGGGTACAAGCCTCCCCTCTTTCCCCACCTGGGAGGCCTTGCAGGGTACCTCTGACAGCTGACCTCCTACCCTAGTGCCCAGGACCCGGGGTCCCGCTGCCTGGTGGGCAGTCGTGGCCCCTTCCAAGGCCAGAACTGAAGTGAAGGGGTGGGGTGGGGGTGGGGGCAGAAAGTGAGTGCTCGAAGCAAATTTCAATTAAAATTAATACAAAAAACCCAAAAGTATTAGATTTTTAAACACACTGCCATGCAGAGCTATTTTGGAGCCCGAGGTAAAAGGAAGATCCCCTCGGGTAAGAGGGGCCCTTCACAGCCCTCCCTTTGCAGCCCAACCCACGCCAAGGTGGGGGGATTCCCGGAGCAGTAGGAAGCGAGGGCGTGTGGGAGGTCTCAGCAGTGAGGCCCCCCAGGCCAGGCTGGGGCCCCGGGGGTTGGTGGTGAGATCTCAGCAGAGCAATTTCGCTGTGAACAAAGGCGAAGTGAAAAGCAGAGTAGGGGCGGAAGAGACCCCTCGGACTCGGGGACCCTGGTTACTGTGTCGGGTTTCCACGCTCGACCTGGCATGGAAAACTTGACCCCCTAAGGTCTCGAGCGAGCCACGCGATACCCCCATTTGGTAGTTAGTTCTCACTAACAAGACTTGGCAAGATGTCGGGCGAATAATTTTTGGCTTCTGTCAATTCTCCACCGCAGCGCGCAGAAACCCTCTGCCAAAAGCGGCCTCTGGGAAATTCAAAGCGTAAGTAAAAGTAGGGGCTCCCGGAGCGGAGGAGGGAAAGATACTTGACCTGGAAAGAGAGATGCAAAGCAACCTGAATCATCTCCAGAGCCATTACATCCTTTCAAAAGGTCATTCTTTATGCGTGTTTCCTCGCATCTAGCTTTTCACCAAATGTGGACCCTAATTGTCATTTCCTGAGAAAACAATTCACACGTGTGCAAGATTGGGGGAGGATTCTCCCCCAAACAGAGAACGTCGGCTCCCCCCCACCCCCCACCAGGGTTAAATAAACATCTTTAGGAAGCGTGGACGGGAGTGGAACCCCTGCCTTCCTCTGGAAGAACACCATTCCGGCAATTAATGCCTCCCTCTGGGTCGTAAAGCAACAAACCCCACACCTCACTCCTATTACCGGGCTTCGGGGCGGGAGGGCTTTCTCTTTCATCTTCTACGTTGAGGTTTGCCAACGTTCCTCGGGAAGCTATAAAACTGATTTAATGGCATAAGAGGAAAATCGATCACACTAATGCATAAGCTAACGTCTGACAAATCGCATAAAAACAAACAAAAAACACCACCAGCCGGGTCGAACGCACTCGGTGAGCCAGGGCTAGAGGTCCCAGGCCCAGCCGGCTGGGCAGCTGTGCAGTGCTCCTGGTTCCGTTCAGTTCTGGGGAGACGATCAGCCACTGTTAGGGGGGGGGGGTTCAGGGGGAAGCACCGGGTGAGACAGCCACAACGAGCCCTGGCCTCCCTTAGGCCGGCTTCTCGGCTGCCTTTTTTCTGTAAGCCCAACGCCGCAGTGCTGCAGCGGGGTGCAGCGGCGACACCGCCACTCGAGTGCCGCAGGAAGCGGCGGCGGGGGTCAGGGTCAGCGGACCGACGGCTGGAGGCGCCGCCGCGCTCCATTCACAAAGTCCGGACGCGGCAGCTAGCTCGGCGGTCGGAGGCCGCCTCCCTCTTCCTCTAGGTCTCGGTTTTATGAATGGGCCTGGCGGCGAGCGCCGGGCGTCCTGTTTACTCCGCTCTTTGTGACGTCGCGTTCCCGTGACTGGGCGCAAGCGGCCGGCACTCCATTCACGCGCGGGGGAGAGGGGCGGGAGGCGGCCCGGAGGGGCGGAGGGAGTCAGGCTGGGGCGGGAAGGAGCGCGCCGGGCGCGGGGAGGGCGCGCAGCCCAGAATGGAAAGAAGGCGGGGCTTCGCGAGGTAGTAATGAATCTGCCCCCTCCCGGGGGAGAGCCGAGGAGCATTAACAAATCTATAAACCGCGGTGGAAACTCTGGCTGGGGCAGAGCGCGGAGCTCCGGCTGTTGGAGGGGAACGGCGGCGGGAGAGGTAGAGCGGGTGCCGGCGGAGGCTGGAGCGGCACGACGGGACAAGTACAATAGAGACAACAGAAAGGCGCTCTTGGTCCTCTCCCGTAAACACACTCCCCTCCACTGCCACCTCCGGCTCAGCGCGGCGCGCGGTGCTGCCCAATGCTGGCGGCCGCTCGGACTGCTATGTAACCGCGAGACTGAGGGAGGAAGGGGACTGGGGAGAAGAGGCTCGCCGTGGGAGCCCCTGGGGGGCAAGTTTGCAGCCACTTTTCCACGCGCCCGTCCTTAGTCCTCGCCCGCCCCTTCCTGCAGCCCAGCTGGCCCGGGTGTCTTTCGCCTCTTCGCGTGCCCAGCAGCCGCGGCGATCATGGTGACGGTGGAAGAGCTGCGGGAGATGGAGTGCAGCGTGCTCAAAAGGCTGATGAACCGCGACGAGAACGGCGGCGGCGGCGCGGGCGCTAGCGGCAGCCACGGTGCCCTGGGGCTGCTGAGCGGCGGCAAGTGCCTGCTGCTGGACTGCAGACCGTTCCTGGCGCACAGCGCGGGCTACATCCGAGGCTCGGTCAACGTGCGCTGCAACACCATCGTGCGGCGGCGGGCCAAGGGCTCGGTGAGTCTGGAGCAGATCCTGCCCGCCGAGGAGGAGGTGCGTGCCCGCCTGCGCTCTGGCCTCTACTCGGCGGTCATCGTCTACGACGAGCGCAGCCCGCGCGCGGAGAGCCTCCGCGAGGACAGCACCGTATCGCTGGTAGTGCAGGCTCTGCGCCGAAACGCCGAGCGCACCGACATCTGTCTGCTCAAAGGTAAGCGCGGCGACCCAGAGGCGAGAGGTAGGGTAGGTGTAGTGGGGCTTGCGCCGCACTAAGTAGGGAATGAATTACTTGGAGCGATTCGTGGCTGCAGGAACATCCCCCCTCCCCGCGCCCTCTTTTGTGCGTGTTGGTGTACACGGGTTTGCAAGGTTTTTGCGCATTTGTGTGGAAGTTCGAGCTCCTGAAGTCCTTAGAGACGGGGAGGGCTTGTTTCCTCCGTCACCTGCAATTCCACATCCTTCCCCGCGCGGTTGTGCATTTGTTTACACTCATTAACGGTTTGGCCTTGCGGTCAAAGCGACTCATCATTTGCGTTACCCACCCTCAAGTGTTCCCAAATACCACAGAGCGGGTGTGGACAGGATAGGCCTGTTGGTTTTACGTGAGCAGGCCCTGCCCTGAGTCCGACCCTGAGAACACGAGAGGTGGGTAAAGGGGTGAGCTTGGCAGCGGAATCTGCCCCGCGAATTCGTTCGGGGGCCTGCCTTTAGTGTACGCAGTGTGTAAGATCCGGCTGCGGACGCTGTGTGGACCGATCAGTATCTCGTTTCCAGCTGCTCAGCTCCCAGCTCCACCTGGAAGGTGGCCAACTCCTCCTACGTCGGGCTCGACCCGGACTCCCGGAGCTAGGGGCGGGAGGACTGAGTTTGGGCAACTCCAGGAGGAATCCAGCCGCTTCAATTCAGACGGCGGAGAAGTACGACCTTTTGTTCCGGCATCATTCTCCACTCGCTGATGTTGGTGCGCGCTTGATTTCAGTGAACCCTGGTGAAACTTTTCGGACGGGGAGCTCTAGTCAAATCTGAAGGTCAGAAACCCGGATAGACCGAGTGCTGTCCAAGGCGCCGGAGGGACACGGAGCCTGCCCCACCTGCCGTCCTGAGCTGCCTCAGTTTGGGGAGAGCGGACTGGGCTGGTGGGGTAGGGGCGCCCCCTGCGGTGCTGCGCCCCTTTCTCCCGCCGCAGCATTCCGCGCATTCTTTCGGCCCTGGTCGTGTCCGATGGACGCGAAGGGCGTTTCAGACCCCCGCCTTCAAAGAGCCGCTCCTTTTCTAGCTGGCGCCCATGGCTCCCTCCCTCTTCCTTTTTTCTGCGCCTAGGTACAGCTTGCCCTAGAGGAAAGGAGACGGTGTTGGGGTGGGGGGTGGGGTGGGAGGGTGGGCTGGGCGGAAACATGGCCCTCCCGCGCCCTCCCCATCCCAAAAGCACAACAAAACTGCTCAGTGTGGACGATTCGGGTTTGCCCTCGGTGAACAGCGGGGGGCTTTGTTCTCGGTAGTAGTTTCCTGGCCATTTGACCTGTCAGCTGCTGGGGAAATGCTGCTGTTGACCTTTGGTTGAACTACTAAGGCGATTTTGCTGATTTTTCATTCGCCGTGAGGGCTGCCTTTTGCACCTCCATGCTAGCCCAGTTCTCCCTTCTCCCAAAGCGCTTGAAGAGAAAGTGCCTGGCGGGCTCTTGTACCCGAAGAACGGGCCGCTAAGCGGGGAGGGGCCGGGTGTGAAGGACCCGCCGACCTCACCTGCCCCAGGTGCGGATCTGTGCCCGGGAGCCTGGTGGCGGGCGCACATCCTTAGTACTCTCCCTTCCAGGAACTGGTTCTACCTTCTTGTGTGAGGGAGGGGCAGGGGGTGGTCTAGGCTGCGGAGCATGCCTGCCCTCCCTCCTGCTGTTTGCGGGCAAGAAGAGACACATTTCTCAGGAATTAAAGTCCCTTCGCGTGGCAGCGTTGGCCGGGGTGTTCACCGTGCTGTGCTGCCCTCCGGTCTCCTGCTTCAGAGCAGGAACGCGCTCCTTTCTCTACCAGCCAGGACCCAGGACCCTTCCCGACTCCCTGACCCCCTGAATAAGACTAGGAGGGCTGTAGCCAAACCCATTGGGAGAGCTGCCAGGCTCTCTACCAGCGCGGTGAGGCAAGTGCTAATTTAAGGGCTGGGGAAGGACAGGGCCTCTGGGTAAAATGAGTCCCTGTCGGCTGGGAGGTGCCTGGCCAACGGAAGAGACGCGTTCTAAGAGCTCCTCTTTCTCTGCCTGCTGCCTGACCTGGTGCGGCTTGGGAGCTGGGCCCTCTGCACCCGGTATTGTACATCCTCCGTGAGCCAGAGGATAGGCCTGGGTCCAGGTGGTATTTTCTTTCAGGATCAGACCCCCGGCAGTAGCCTGGAGAGGTTGCAAGCAAAAGGAACCTACCTCTCTGGAAGCAACTGCCTAAAATTAACAGGATGGGGGGTGGGGAGTGTGGTTGGGGTGGCAGATCTTCCAAATTGTTCTGTAGCTGCAGGAGGATACTTTTGAGGTTAACTGGGTCATAGTCTGTTTAACTGAGTTTATTTTTATATGTCTGCTAAGCAGAGAAGGTCCTAACACAGCTTGGTTTCCTTTTTGCCTTCTAATGAGAAGGCTTCCCTAGTGAGAACAGAAAGGAACAGCAGCAGCATAGGCCAGTGGAAGGGAAGAAACAGGGGGTGCTAAGGAGGGAACTCTAGAGGCAGGGAACCTAGGGAAGAAAGACCCCCCCCCCCATGATCTTTATCAGGGCTGAATGATTTGGGTTCCCCACTGTAGTTCTTTCAGGCTGCAGCTAATAGGACTTTTGGGTCCTCACTTCCTCAGTCTTGTGGAAGTAGAGAAGGGGTCTTTATTTCAACCACTTTGAAGAGCAATAGGTTACTCATTGCAGGTAGTTAAATCGCTGATGCCACGGGGAAGAATTCATGATTGAGAGTAAACTTTGCTTAATATTAATAAATGCTAATTAACCGTTACATTTCCTAATATCGTCCAAGTTTTGCTAACTATAATAACCAAGATCACTACATTTTTTTGGCCTTTTAGCTAGTAAAAATTTTCATTGGGGTAGCTCTCTCTTAGCTTATCTTATTTAAATCCTATAAGACATTTGTCTTACAAATGAAAGACATTTGTAGGGGTCACTTAGAAACTTGAGCTTTTCAGATTTCACTGCAGTAAATATCCTCTGCTGAAATTCCTTGTCTTCCCAATCCTTTCAATTAGGGTTTTAGACTCCCGGGGGTCATTAGTAAAAGAGAAAAAGATCATTTTCCTATTCCAATCGAAATCTGTACTTCACCTTCAATGTAACAAATCTGTCTGTTATACGGACTTCAGGTTTAAAAATATTTATCTACCCTTCTGTCTAAATATTTCAGCTCATTGTCTTTTTTTTTTTTTTAAGATTTATTTATTTATACAAGAGCTGGGGTACAGGCGAGAGGCTTCACCAGAGACAGAGTGGGGAGCAGAACAGGCAGATGGACCAAGTACACTGCTGAGGGGAGCAGCAGGCGGGTCAGGGGAGGTCTGCCAGGCCATGTGGTCTCCTCCGGGCAGGTGGGGATCGGGCAGGTGGGGATCGAACTCTTGCGGAAGTGGCTTTAGCTTCTCAGTGCTGTGCTTTAACCCGCTGTGCCACCAGGGAGGGCCTCATTGTCTTTAAGATTTATTTTATTTATGTATTCAAGAACTGGGGTGAAGGCCAGAGATGCAAGGGACAGAGTAGGGAGCAGAACTGGCTGATCTACTGAAATACACTGCTGAGGGGGGCTGCAGAAGGGTCAAGAGAGGTCTGTCCTGCCATGTGGGTCACCTCCCCTCTCTGGCCTGAGATTGAATTTATCTGCAGTGGCTGGCCTTAGCTTGATAATGCTGACTTTAATCCCTGTGCCACCAGGGAGGCCTTTTTAGATCATTTTCTATGTCTGTTCTTATTCAAATCTTATTTAAAAGCTCTTCTGGAGCTCTTGAGAAATTGGGAGGATCAACAAACTATTCTAACTTCCCCTTTCAGGTAGGAACTCATTCTCCTAGAGTCCAGACCTGGCCATATAGACTCTACTTCCTGTAGAAAACTGCCACTGGACAGTGATGAATACAGGAAGGGAACGCTTAACTAGTGAGTCGGTCAATCCCAAGTATAAGTGCTGGCGTGCATGTCCTCTGACTGTCTATCCCCAGTCACCCATCCTAGTTCCCCAGGAGACCTGTGGGATCAAATAGCAGAGGTCTTGGGGACACTGAGGCTTGTCCACCTCTCCCATCCAAAGGGAAAGAAAGAGATTTTCTCCTTGCAAATAGGACAAAATTGCATTTGACAGGCCCTCCCTGGTGGCGCAGCGGGTTAAAGCACAGCACTAAAAAGCTAAAGCCGCTTCCGCATGAGTTCGATCCCCACCTGCCCCGGAGGTGACCACATGGCGCGGCAGACCTCTCCTGACCCGCCTGCTGCTCCCCTCAGCAGTGTACTTCGTCCATCTGCCTGTTCTGCTCCCCACTCTGTCTCTGGTGAAGCCTCTCATCACCCCTGAGCCTCTGGCCTGTACTCCAGTTCTGTATGCACAAATAAATAAATCTTAAAAAAAAAATTGCATTTGACTGGGAAGGACTGGGAATATTAGAATGACAAAAATGGATAATTTCTAACCCCAATTGTAATTCAGTAAAAAATTAGTAAATGTAGCAAACTCACTGTTGTTTGCATCCTTTTAAGGGAATGCTTCCAACCAACTAGAGTTGCTAAAGGCAGGGTGGAGGTATTAATTAAGTGAAAACCAGATCTTTATGGACCCCATTACAGCTCCCTTGGGCTTGTCCTCAATGCTTGAAGGAGAGGTGGTGCTAACATAAGGACTGAACCCGGAAAAATGAAGGAGGGAGAAAGTGGGGCCTTCTTAAAAAGCCAAGATATTCCTTTGCTCAATCAGGCCCTCTGAAACAAGATAGCCAGTTTCCTTGCTGGAAGGCAGTTCCCACTTAACAAAGAGGAAGCTTGACAGGAAGAAAAGTTCACTCTCCAACGGAAGCTAGCTTGCTGAATCTGGGAGATAGTACAGAAGGCCTGGGTGGGACTGTAAACACATCCAGCCTGAACGTGGCTTCCAGTGCCAGCCAGCGGGCCAAGCCCACAGGTCTGTGTGCGGCCTCTCAGAGACGGAAGCCCCCTCTGAGAGGTATATTTTAAATGTTTCTCAGCATTTACCTGGGTGCATGCTAAATCAGCACACAGATTAGTTCTTAGAGCCAGATGACCTTCAAGTGACTTTCAAGTGGCTTTTTTGCTGGGCAACACTTGACTTGTACTGATAAGTTGTCCCTAAGAGCCAGGGCCCTGAGTCCTTCTGGGCAGGGGTGATGTAGAGTGGTAGGTGAGTGTAGAGTGGGTAATGAGCAGAGAAATTGTCAAATGAAATCCATGACCAGAGTCACCACGAAGTTCAGCCCTGTCATACAGAACCACTACCAGTTCCCTTATGGTGACATGGACAGCCTGTTCCTGGCACTTTGACACCCATGGTCTCCCCAAGTGCCCCTCTGCAGGTAGTGGGACTGTGCCCATTGGAACGTGCCCAAGGCTCAGGAAGCCTTGAAAATTGCCTTGCTGGTGTGAGTATGTGTGAGGAAAAGCAAAGACTATAGGGTTTAACTGTAGATGTAGTTATCCCTCAAGAAAGGAGGGTGAAAAATTCTACTCTCCCCCCACCAGACTCGGCATGTGTTAAACTGAAGAAAATGCAAACTTGAAGAATAGAAAGTACATTCCTAAGTAAGGACATGGAAAAAACAGGTCAAAACTAATCAGAGTAGCGGATACACAGTGACATTCAGTAGGATGTAGAAAGACAGGTCAAAAAATTCATTGGCATTAAAATGTTAGGGCATTTTATTTTAGGAAACAAATGCAAATCATAGGCACCTGCTGTGTAAAGCCTGCAATTAAATAGATAAGGGAGACATCGGGGAATACCAGCATTTAGAGCATAGATGCTGTGTGAAATCCTCACATTGGAGGGGCTGCTGGTGGGACAGAGCGCCCTGCAGCACTTCCTCTCCAGTGGCTGTCACCTATAGTATGGGCCTTGTGGCTCGAGGGCTCAGTGCTTCCCTGCCCCCCACCTTGCTTCAGGGCTTGGCCCACCCTCCCAGGGGCCCTGGGTGAGTGCAGCTCATTGGCTCCCCACAAGGAGCCCATTGGGTGTTCGACCTCCTGACAGCCAGTCATACACCCCCCAAAAGCTAGTGAAGCTCAGGAGGGGAAAACCCTTTCATGGGTGCCACCAACAGGGGCAGGCCCTTCCTGTGCTTTTTCCAGGACTGATCTGCTACTTCACTTAGTTCCTTTCTGTTTGTTCTTTAAGGATTTTCCCAGAGAGAACTGACTTTTCACTAATCCTATTTCTCTGTTGTGATGGCGTCTTCTCTATTCTCTTAGGAGCAGCTTGTGGGGGGTGGTGACACCTGGCCTGGTGTGGCCCCTGGATCACCTCTGTTCTTTCCCCATTGCTGCTTGCCCCCGACCACTCCCGGGGGCATCTGCTGTCCGGACCTCTCCTTCGGTTTCTACTGTCCGTAGATTGACTGATGACGGGCCAGGGAGGCAGCGGATATCCCCGATTGGGAAGGGAGACAGGGCTCAGGAAGTGTGGTATCTGCCCTTCCTCTGTCTAACTACCGAGTCTTAAGACTACAACTGGAGAAAATAAGTAAGGCCCAAGGAGAGGACTGTGCAGTGTGGAAGTCAGTAATGCCCCTTGCAGGTGCCCCAAAAGGAAACCTGCATTCTGTGCCTCCCGGAGGCCCAGCACAGAGCACAGACTGTGTGAACCATTTGAAGAACCAGGATGGAGGTTTCCTCACATGTAACAGCTCGGGAGGAGGCTGTGAGGGGTTCATTCAGGGGCCCAGGCTGCATGGCTCATGCCCACAGGGTTGTGACTCAACCAGCCCTGTGAGCCTGACTGCAAAGGCTGTGCTCTTTCCGGAACCTCAGTTGGGGGCCCTATCCTGTATCTTCTGGGCAACAGGGAGAACATTCTCTGCTGTCAGGGTGGTGCTCCTCTGTGACCTCGGGCCTGGCCTGGCACCCTGTGGCCTGCTGTTTGCCCTCTAGCAGTATGCTTGTCGGCTGTCTGGGAGGTGAGCTTTAGGAGGCCGCTACACTCATGCGTCACATCTCTTGGGGGAAGAAACGTGTCTTAATAGTTCAGATTATATAATAAACACGACACTCATTGTAAAATCCTGTGAGAGTATAAAGAGTAACTGGTGATGGTACTTTATTGTAGGTGTTCATTATTGGTTTGTCGATGTATGCATTTCCCCTTCTGCTTGCTCCAAAGTGGAAGCATCGACCCAAAGTTTCCTGTCCTAGGGACTTCAGCTAAATACACTCACTGGCTCTCCTGCTTCCCATTCCCTTCTCTGCTTTCGCTGTGGCAGTGTTTGCAGCAGGACAAGATCACAGGGCTGGGGGGGGGGTGCCCTGTAATGAGAGACCGCTGGGGCCATCAGCACACCTGAAGAGAGGACATGGGACCTCTCCCAGGTTCCCCACCCAGGAAGGCTGGTCATTATGACTCAGCAGGAATGTGGGCCCAGCCCTCCACCAGAGAGCTGTTCTTTTACAAAGATCCTCAGGGAGGGCGTGAAAGAAGGCTCCAATAGGGGGGAAAAAATGCATCCCCGTGTCTGGGAGCATTGTGATGTGGCAAGGAACCATTCTCCTCCTCAGAGCAGGAGTTCGTAGGGATGGAGGGGAAGGCATAGCCTGTCACATGCCTGCATATGGGAGGCTCACTGGGAACTGTTACGGACCATGGGCCCGTGGTATTGGTCATAGAAATTTAAGAGTGTGAACTACAAGCATGGCCAACAGTTGAATGGGTCAGTTGAAGAGGTTCTTTCACTGAATTTTTGGTTCTGCAGAAACTGCAAAATAAAAATACAAGTAGGGCTTTGGCATACACTGTTAGGTTACCCACAAAGCATAGTCACCGAGATGACAAGAGAACCATGGATATTGGCTGCATGTATTTCTCTGAGTGTTTTGCTACCCACCTCTCTGGAATCTCTGCTCACCCCAAGCCGCACCCTTCAATCCCACCCCATTCAGTAAGTGCTTTTCTGGTTGGCACTAACATTCTACATAAATTGTCCTTTCCCCCCCTTTTTTTTTTTTTTACTTATAAGACTTTCCTCCCCGGAAGAAGATCCCACAGATAACTATTCCAGGGCTTAGCAACTTGCAGGTCAGGAAATCCTCCCTTGCCCCAAATCTGTGTGTTGCAAGAGGGATTTATTTAGATTTAAGTCCATTTCCTCTTGTTTTGGCCCCTTGTTGATGGAACAGCTGTTCAGGCGGCCGAGCAATTGGCATCTGCTCTGTTGCTGAGATCCAGAAGGACTGGTGCCAGACAAGTTTTCTTTCTTCTCTCCCGCACTGGACAACTTCTCCAGAAGGAAGGGCTGGCGCTGAGAGGATGGCAGACATCTGGAATTCCAGGCCTTCGTGTTCCTGGAACCCCGTAGCCATAACCAATTCATGCTTTGTCAACAGCCTAAGAAGCTCCAGGGGAAGAGCCCCTTATGAGTACCCCTGCACATCCTTCTTGGTGTCTTTCGAACTAGGTTTTGTCCATAAAGCCTGGGGTCCTATTTCAGGACGTGGTTCTGATTTGGGTCCTGCATCTCCGGCAGCCTTGGTGGACGTTATCCCTGGGCCCACAGCGCCACCCCGTGGCAAAAGTAACCCAGTTGGGCTCCAGGTCCCTATAGCGCTCCTTCTTTCTGGCTTCCTACCAGGTGAGGTGGCTCCATTAACCTTAACTGATTTCTTCTTTATAGGTGGCTATGAAAGGTTCTCCTCTGAGTACCCGGAATTCTGTTCCAAGACCAAGGCTCTGGCAGCCATTCCACCGGCTGTGCCCCCCAGCACTTCAGAACCCTTGGACTTGGGCTGCGGTTCCTGTGGAACCCCACTGCATGACCAGGTAAACTCAGGGCCCAAAGCCGGGGGCCAGAGGGCCAGGTGGGGCCATCAGGAGGGGCTGATTTACAGCCTTCTGCTTTTTAAAGGTGTGTTAGGGCCCTTTGATTCCTTGGACTTCTCTTTCTCTCTTTTACTACTGCCCTCTCAAGAAAACATCATAACATGGACACAAAACAGCATTAAGACCCGACTCCCTGGCTTCACTCTTGTTAATGCATATAAGTGAGGAAGCCTGCACAAGAGGATCTGTGTGTCCTGCAGTGTAGGAATCTCAGGGAAACCCGAAACCCTCTCCCCCCACTTTTTTTCCGTATTCATGGAAGTTTATTTAAAATTTCCCAAACCAAGTTCCTTAACAGGTGAATGGATCATCAAGCTGTAATATGTTTGTACATAGATAGAAATTAATAGGAAAAAATGGAAGAATAAAGATGGGTATAGAAAGAAATAAGAAAATTCATAATAGGACTATAAAATATAATGGTAAAGTACCAGGTGAAACACCCTTTTTTGAAGGAACCGCTTGTTGAGCCCTTGTTCCCCCAGTACGGTCCCTCATGAACCACTAAAAATCCTAAATGGAGATCAGTGGTCAGCTAGACCTTCCAAGAAAATCAGACAAAAACACGGCATTGCTTATAACCCCGCCCCACTCAGCCCTTTGATTTGCATGGAGAGAATTTTTGGGTCCAACAGCTCCCCAAACCCCAGGTCATGTGTTTGACTCCGAGAAATGTCCTGAAGGCAATTCTACCTCATTGTGCCCAAATCTCTCCTTTTATCTGTGTGACTGAGAAGCTATCCGTTTTTGATGTGCCAAGAAAAGACATGCCCAACTGAATGAGTCCCTGAACCCCACGAATCATTTGGTGACTTAATAGTATAAGCTCTATATATCACAAATGGTTGGCAGCGTTGGTGTGGTGCCCTCACAGGGGACGGGCTGCTGGGGGAGGCAGGTGGGTCTCAGGCTTTACCTGTCCTGGCGGCTGCTCGCAGCAGAGCAGAGCACAAACGGGGAGACGTGCTACTGAGCCCCTGGCTCCCTGCAGGAGCCCCAGGACGGCAAGGGTAGCCTGGTAGCCTCAGAGCCCATGAAAGCCACCCCAGCCAGGCTTTCCTTCCCCCGCACCAAGCACCGCTGTCATTTTCCTGGCTGCCTTGTACTTAGAATATTTGGGGTCCTTTTTCTTTTCTGCTGCAGGGAGGTCCTGTGGAGATCCTCCCCTTCCTCTACCTCGGCAGCGCCTATCACGCTGCCCGGAGAGACATGCTGGACGCCCTGGGGATCACGGCCTTGCTGAATGTGTCCTCCGACTGCCCCAACCACTTTGAAGGACACTATCAATACAAGTGCATCCCAGTGGAAGACAACCACAAGGCTGACATCAGCTCCTGGTTCATGGAAGCCATCGAGTATATCGGTAGGCTGGCCTGGGCCGGGGGGCCGGGTCCCAGCCTGGGGTTGGGGTGGGGAGTGAGAAGGAGCCACTTATGTGTTGAAGGAAGGAGTCAGGAGTGCAGTATCCAGGATACTCCCATTTCCTCTTTCTCCAGAGGAAGAAATACCCATTGGGTATTGTGTTGGGCAGGGTATGACCATAAATTCCTGTGGCCAGAGCCTCAGTTTAGTGCCAGTAACCTTTACCTCGTACAGATGCCCCTGTGACAAGGGTTTGGGGATGGGGAGGAAGACAAAGAACGGGACTGTTGGGTTATTGTCTGTTTCTATAAATCAATCCTTACTAAGTGTGTGTTGGGCCATGCCTGGCTTTAGCACCTCCTGAGTGCAGTGCCTCTGTTGGTTCAATCTCAAAAATACCCTAGAGTGGGTGGGATTCTGCAGGCCCTCCCACTGGGTCCTTTCCCGCCCATCTTGCCCGCCTTATTTTTCTCTTGGGCTAGCCCACCGCCCCCCATTTCTGGACACTTCTGCTCCCCCGCCTGACTCACATTCTGAATTAGGCACCGCTCGCTCGAGTGGGTGAAGGTCGCGAGTGCGGCCCAGGCTCTAATGTCGTCCTCCTCTGTCCCAGATGCGGTGAAGGAGTGTCGCGGGCGGGTGCTGGTGCACTGCCAGGCGGGCATCTCGCGCTCCGCCACCATCTGCCTGGCCTACCTGATGATGAAGAAGCGGGTGCGGCTCGAAGAGGCCTTCGAATTCGTCAAGCAGCGGCGGAGCATCATCTCGCCCAACTTCAGCTTCATGGGGCAGCTGCTGCAGTTTGAGTCCCAGGTGCTGGCCACGTCCTGCGCGGTGGAGGCCGCCAGCCCCTCCGGGCCCCTGCGGGAGCGGGGCAAGGCCACCCCCACGCCCACCTCGCAGTTCGTCTTCAGCTTCCCGGTCTCGGTGGGTGTGCACGCGGCCCCCAGCAGCCTGCCCTACCTGCACAGCCCCATCACCACCTCCCCCAGCTGCTAGAGCCGCTCTCCAGCACCCCGAAACCAGAGTCGGCGGGCGTTCTGCCAGAGTTGGGTGGGCAGATGTGGGTGGCGGCACGTTGGGACAGACCAGCTGGGGCAGGCGACCCAGCCCCTCCCCCTTCCATCTCTCCTTGGCTAGCCACCGGCCAGCTAGAATGGCAATAAGGACTTTGAATACTTAACTAAAAACAAACAAAACACTCCAACTTAGAGCAATAATGGCTGCCTTTAGTAGGCAGGGAAGACCTTGGTTTGGCTTGTGTGTCAGTTTTACTTTTTCAGATAGGAATTTCTTACCTCATTTTTTTAAGCAGTAAGGCTTGAAGTTAAGAAACCCACAGATCCTGGCAAATGTGCCCACCTGGTTTTATTAAGGGGGGAGGGGGGAGGGACAGGGACATGAAGAAAACAAATTTGCCAGAAGTGCCTGGTTCTGCGTGTTTGGTCCTTTTTTGTTCTTGTTGTTGTTAGTTACTGCATTTTTTTTTTTTAAAGAAACCTTTTAGGACATGGTTTGTCCCCAAAGTCACCCACAGGTGAATAATTAAGCTGAATAATAAATCGGTGTATTTATTAAGAATTTCCTCAGAGTGTGGAAGTATAAGGAGTCTAGTAACCGTGAAAATCCTTAGGTTGATTCCTCGAGCAGAGCACAAGGGCTTGCAGAGGCCCAAGCGGCCAGGAGCCGGTGGTGTGGCGGGTTCGGACACTTGCCAGGTGAACCCCTTGCGCTCGTTGCCACGGAGAAAGGCGGGAGGAGGAAGAAAGGCAAGGATGACTTTTTAACTACTTTTAAGCTGGTTCCAGCTAGACCAGGACAGCGAGTTTGAATCACCACAACCCAGCCTCTTTCACTGCAATCAGTCACTCAGTTGGGCAGTGGGAGCAGTGAGAGCATTTTCTCAGAACTGGCCTGAGGACCAGGATGTCGTCTGCGACCAGTGCCACAACACACAAGGTGCTCCTGCAAACTTGGGTGACACTCGGATTTCTGACAGCCAATCACTTGGCAAGGCCACTGGGAAAAGCGGCTGACTAGACAACAGCCCTGAAGGAATCCTTTTTGTCAGTGGGAGCCTATCTTTCCTTGTTCGCTTAAGTCGGAGTTGTTCATTTTAGGGGGTCAACCTGAGATGATGTATACCAAGAAATTCTCGTGTTCTTAAAATTCCTGGTTTAGCTGAGTAATTTTAAAGGCCCTCTGGAGTAGGAAGAGGGAGGTGGACACCACATTTCAGGTCTCCTTGAAGTCCAGTAGGGGTGAGGCGTCAGACTGCTTGCCAGCTGGCTCCTGGGTTTGGGCGTTGTGGGTACTCGGAGGCCATTTCAGAATCCTTTGTGATGCCATTTTAAGGGAACTTTCCAAATGGAGGAATGGCTTTTGGAGGGAGAAGGATGTTTTTTCTTGGGTTGGTCTTGGGGGGAGGGAAGAGGGAGCAAGCTACTTGTTATTTCATTTGTAGTATTGTGGAACAGTGTTGTTATGGAGTGCCAGAGTAGTGGTCATTGCAAACTTGTCTAGAAATGAGAGCATGTTTGTGGTTTTTGCTTTTGAGCCCTTTGAGAGTCTAGATCTAACTGAACTTTTCCACCCATAAGTGACTTCAGGCCTCCACGACTGAACCGTCTTGGGATGCTCTTCTGCATCCTGGCCCTGCAGACAGAACCAGGTTCATTACATTTCCTTCCACAAATGTGAACCTTGTTGGCACCTTTTGGCCTCCCTTTGTTTTGGGGGTGAGGACAGAGTTCCCACTTCCTGTTTTTAGAAAGGCCCAAGGTCCCCCCCCGCCCTTCACCTTGAGCTGTTTGGCTAAGTGGGTCCAGGGGAGACGTGGCGGTGTGGGGTTCCAGGAAGATGGGCCTGTCTGGAGATGGCGCAGCTGGACATCCCTCCTCAACCCTCGATTCCTGGAAATTGCTTCATGCCTTGTGACAGATGAGGAACAGTGGTTTCTGCGGCTGAAAGCCATGTGTTCCAATGGCAGACCAGCGTGGGAGGACGGGCCGTTTTAGGAGAGAGGGGAAGTAGCCTGGGACAGTCACCTTTGATAGACTGTGCATACATTTGCCCAAACCTATGTATCCTGCTTTCCTAGACTAGAGTCCAGCCACACGACAGTTGGTACTCAGGACCAGCCCTACACACCTCTTCCCCTGCTTTCCAATTGAAGTCTTGTATTACTAAGTCAGACAGCTAGTTATAAAGCCATTTTCTTTGTATTTGATTACAGCGTGAGTCCCCAAACTCTTAGACACAAAGTAAGAAGTTGACTTGGATGAAAAAGGGGGTTTTGGTTATCTTCCTATCAGATGCTTTCATCACTTGGGTTATTAATGAAGACAACCCTACAGAGCCAGTCACAAGGCCACTAAGCTTCCATGTACATTCCTCCATGGTGGAATTTCTGTATAACCAGGAATCATTGCCACTTTCATTGATTATCAAATGTGCAGTAGGCTGTTTGGGTATCTGAGGTTGAGGAAGCCTGCCAGTTCCTCCTGGAGCCCTGGGTGGGAGGTCCATGTTGGTGGAGCCCTGAGCAAAGTGGCCTCTGCCTTTCCCCTGGAAGCAGAAGCAAATGGTGAGCAGACGGCAGGGACTCGCTCTTAAAGCCATTTTGCTCAGATGTTCATTCCTTCTGGAGTCTAGAGTCTTCCACATGGTTGGAAAGTCATGAAAATTTAAAATCTTGGTGGAGGACATAGGGAGTAGGATGGGTTATTTGCAGGTGAGGGGAAGAGGCTGTAACAGTTCACCTTGGCCACTTGTTTGTATCACTGGGAAGTTTTTAAACCCCTGATATTGAGCTACCCCAAATCAATTAAAACAGTGCGTCTGGCGGTGTCAGTGGGGTTTTCAAAGCTCCCCAAGTACTTTGTATGTGCTGCCAAGGTTGAGCAATTACCTTGCTTTCTGCTCGGTCAGATGCTGTTGGAGTCAGGTCTTGATACCAGAGCAGGCTTGTCTTGAAGAAACCTCAGCCGTGGGGTTGCCCCTGGCACAGCATGGTCACTACCAGCCCCACTGCCTGGCTCACAGAAATTCCAGCTTGTGACCTTCCAGCCAGAGCACCTTTCATGGTCCTTGAAAACCAGCTGATGTGTGGAGCACTGCTAGGGAACTAAATACAGTGTCTGGATGTTGATATTTTCCTTGGAAAATTCTTGAAGAAGATGAAGATTGTCACCTCTTTGTAGTTCCCCTTTCCCCCAGCACCCTGCCCTTCCTTAGAGTTCATGGATCACGCAAGGAAGAGGCTTTGTCAAGACAGAGCAATGCAATACTTGTAACTTCTGTAAATAGCCCCAACTTTCAGAGTGATGTCATTTCTACATTTGATATGCTTGTATTTCTGTAGAATGTATATAGTTTAGGGGATTTTTTTTGTTTGGTTTTGTTTTTTAGAAAAGTCAACATGTCTGTTTTTATTTATTGCTTGAAAAAGATCATTTGAAGAAAAATAAATACATTTTCAACCACCTCTGGCTGTGTTTATCCTTTCCTTGAAAACTTGCTCCACTGACACTGGAAGGGGAGGAAAGATTAAAAATCTTGAGCACTTAGTAACATCTATATTGGAGACTTGCTGGTAAAACTAGTGTGCCCATTTTTGCTCTCTGAACACCACCCTAAGCTCAGGGTATGAATCTCAAAGGACCTGATTTCTCCAGGGAGACATTCCCACAGAAAGAATGCTTGAGGGCAGAGCACTGGGAATCTACCCTGTGCAAGCAAGCACAGGATGGAAACAGAAGGCCAGTCGGAAGTCACAGTGATTATGGTGGGAGCAGGAAAATATACAAGGAATTACTACTATCTCACACCATTAGTAACAAGGCAGTTCAGCCGATCTCACTGAGTCTTAAGACATTTCACTAACCTCATATTTTATTGAGGTAACTGAAATAGCAGTTTTAAGGCCAGATAAAAATGTAAAGATTATATTAGTGCTGTTCAAGTATGTTGAAGCAGATTTCCCAAATCGTAAATCAAAAACATACTAGTAAATGTGTTCTCACTGTTTCATTGAATATTTTGGAAGCACTAGTTTATGCAATTAGCAAATGTGTGAGGTATACAATTTGGAAAGTGGGAGACCAAAATTATTTGCTGATGACTTGTGCCTGGAAATCATAAGGAATCATCTGAATAATAGAATTCAGTAAGAGGTTGGTTCCAAAGTTAATACAAAAAAAAGCTTTGAAGATGAAATGAAAATGCCAATTAACAAAGTAGTAGTGAAGAACTATTTACAACAGTCACTTAAAAGGTAAAACACGGCCCTCCTCCCTGGTGCTGCAGCAGGTTAAAGCACAGCACTAAGAAGCTAAAGCCACTTCCGCAAGAGTTCCATCTTCGCCCCAGAGGTGACCCACATAGCACAGCAGACCTCTTGTGACCTGCCCACTGCTCCCCTCTGCAGTGTACTTTGTCAGGCTGTCTGTTCTGCTCCCCGCTCTGTCTCTGGTGAATCTTCTCTCTGCCCCTGCACCTCAGGCCTGTACCCCAGTTTTGTATGTATAAATAAATAAATCTTAAAAAAGATAAAATGCCTGTACTCAGCTTTATTAGAGGTAGGCAAGACCTGTGTGATAGCCATAGAGAAGTTCTACCCAGGGACATGTGAGAACACTTGAAAAAAATAAAAGGACAGTGTGCTCCTGGATAAGATGCAACACTAAAAAGATATCATTTTCCCACAGATTAACCTATTAACAATCTTGATCATAATGCCAACAGGATTTGGGAGGAACATGGTCAGATAATCCTGATTTCAGCTGGAGAAGTAAATATGCAGAAAAAGGAAAACTGAAAATTACCAGAGGGAGAGACAGGTGGGAGGGAGTGGGCTTTATGTTTTATACTGTACAAAATAGATTTTTTTATAGGTTATTTAAAAAATAGAGATTTGAGGGCCCACCTAAGACCGCGTCTGAGGCTAGAAACTTCCACCAGTGACTGAGACAGCCCAGGTGAGGACCACCTGACACAGGTCTGTTCTTTTTACCTCCTTCCATTCAGTCCCCTCTCATCACTACAATCCACAGACCATAACTTCCAATTCCTGTCACCGTGACTGTAATAGTTAGCCCCAGGATTTTGTTGTGTAATCTGGAAACGGTTTTACTTAGCTCAAGAATGTGGATATTAGCAACTTGGGCAAGTCTCTTCAAGGCAGTTCTGGGTATCTCCAGCAGTCACTGTCTGGGCTGCTGTCCTCTGATGGTTCAGTGAGGTTGGCTGTCCATGTTGTCACCACGTTGTCACATGACTGGTTTAAGCTGATGTAAGCTGATTTCAGTTGTGACACTCACCTGAGCTCCTCCATGGGTCCTCCCGGCAGAACAGGCAGATTTCTTACACGACAGGTTCAGAGCTCCACTGTGAATGTTCTGGACAACAAGCTATCGTAAAAGCTACACTGGCCCCTTTTTATGCTCTGGTTTCAGAAGTCACAGACTGTTCCTGTCTCCCCATTATATTTTTGAACATT